TGGCAAATCTATTACTAATAAAAGAAATTTCATCAACAGGTTTTCATTAACTTTCCTAGTTATCAAAAAGTTTTGTATAACTCTAAATAAGAAAATTCTTTGTTTACTTCTAAACTCTTGATCAACTTACATATGCTGTTACAAAAGTTCAGGAGATACAATACAACCCCATATTTATGGTTACTGATTCATTCACCAAAAAACAACAGATAAATGCTGAAAAAGGCAGATGTATTAAAATCAATAACATTAAATATAATTTTAGATTTTGACCCTAGAATACCTTTTTGTCACTACTTCTTTAATTGTAAATTGAAAATTTTCTAAAAGTATAATATTTAATTATATAATAAGTATAAATAATTAATTATAAAGTAAGTATAATTAGTTATATATTCTTAAGTATATTTTTCAAATATATATAATAAATAGTAATTAATTATATTTACATATAATATTATACTATTTTTATTTACAATAAACTTATTTTTAAAATTTCTTTTTATATTATATAATAATTTTTTAAGATTATTTACTAATATATTTTTAATTATAATATAAAATTAAGATGTTATAATTAAAAAATATTATAATTTATTTATTTTACAAATTTATAATAATATTTTTCAAAAATTTATTATATTTTTAAAATTAATATATAATTATAATTCTTGACTTACATTTGATAGTATTAGATTAATTAGCATATCAAATATATCATAGTAGTATTTATTATAAATACTATATATATATTATTTAAATTTTATTAATATACATAATTATCATTTATTAAATACATAATAAAAGATGTTTTTTGTTTATCTCATCAGAATAGATTATTAAATTTTTACCAAAAGGCTTATTTATTATCTTTCAAATATTATAATATAAATTAGTTTTTGAATTAAAATAGTAAGAACCTATACTAATATTATTTTATTAGAAAATTTTTCTATTTTTTATTTTAAATACATAATTTTACTTTTTAATAGATCTATTTTTTGCAGAATATTTTAAACTATTTATGACTATATTTTCTTATAGTATAAACTAAATCATTTGAAATCTAAAAAGGATAATATATTTGCAGAATTAATCAAAGGTCAAAATCAAAGATTAATATAAAATAAATCAAGAAAGTAACTAAAAAATAGATCAACATAAAATTAATTAAGGATCAAAAGTAAAAAAAATAAAAGATAAATTAAATATAAAATTAATCAAGGATCAAAGGTAAAGTAAATAAAAGATAGATTAAATATAAGATTAATAAAAATCAATGTAATAAAATCAATTAAAAATCAAAGGTAAAATTAATTAAAGATCAATGTAAAATTAATTAAGAATTAAAGGTAAAATAAATAAGAAATAGAACAAATACAGAATTAATTAAAGATGAATATAAAAAAATTAATCAAAAATTAAACTAAAGTAATTAAAAATTAAATGTGATATAAATAAGAATTAGAAGGTAAAATAAATTAAAATTAAATACAAAATTAAATTAATATTATATTTGAATATAATAAATATTATTTGCAATTTGTGATAAATTTCATTATATTTAAACTTTTTTGCAATTATAGATAGAATTTATTATTTTTTTATCTAATTTATACTTATTAATTTAAATTAAAATTCTGAACAGTTTAGATTAATCCAAAAATTTTCAGTTTAGATTAATTTCAATTCAGTTTTAGATTGCATAAAAATCAATCTAAAAAATTTTTAAATTAGTTCAGATTTTAATTTTAATCTGAACTGAAAAAATCTGAACTAATCTGAAAACTTTGATTGATTTGTTTCAATTAAATGATAAATATTATTTTAAATGAATGATATAAGAATCTTTTAATTAGAATAGTTTTAAATAAATGAAATTATTTTGAAATATCAAATCTATTTTTCTAATCTTAATTTATTATAAATAAAATATGATTATAATTTTAAAGTAATATTAAGCATAAATTCTAGTTGAATTATAGTTAAGAATTTTGTATTTACATGTAAAAATAAAAAATAGTTTTAATTAGCATTATTTAATAAGTTGGATTAAAAGTTTGATTCATATCAAAAATTTACTTTAGAGAGATTTAAATCTAAATTTTTATTATATTATAAGAAGAAAGCAATTTAGAGAATTTATGATAGATATTTATATCTTATTATTGAATAATAAAAAATAAAAAAATAAATTTATTGAAGGCTTAAACTTTTAATAAACCATTCTTAATAAATCATTAATTTTAAAAACATTTATTAGATTGAACAAAATGTATTTTTTATTTACATGATTTCTTTCTTACTACTATTTTTTTTTAATTTTTTATAAAAGGTATTTAGTTGATAATGTCTTTGTATATTCAATGAAATATTTGAGATAATAATAATAATCTGCAGTGCTATAAAAATTGTTATTTAAAGTTTACAACTATTAAATACAAACAGTACTTTACTTTTTACAAAATGAATTAGCTATTCTAGTAAATAAGCTAAAATTATATATAGTAACCTTTTTAAGATAAATGATTATTAGAGAATAAATGTATAAAATGTAAAATAATTAAGTTTTATTATTATATTATTTAAAGCTTGTAAAATACTGTCTGTTAAATTTTTTTTTAAATAGATATCAGATAAATTTTCTTAATACTTATTTGACAATCGTTAAAGATTATTTCAGAATTTGATAATTTTAGCTTATTTGAAAATATGAGCAAAACATTATTAAACTGATTCATATTTATAAAGATATCAAATTTGATCAATAATGATTAAATAATTATTTTGTTTTTTAAAATATAAAAGGATTGAAAACATTTTTTTATTAGAATAAAAATATATTCAAATCAAAGAATTTTTTGAAATGCTAGTAGATAAAATGAAGGAAAAGTATCAGATTAGCAATAACAGCTATTTATAGAGGTAAGAAATATTATTTTAAACATATATTTTGATTATATATTAATATTTGCAAAATTTTGATCAGTATTATCTGAATTCTTAGATTTTTATATTATTAAATTATTATCAAATTCTATTTTTTTTTCCTATTTACCACCTAATTTATTAATTGTTACCTTTAATATAGGTAATTTTTAATAAATTCTTGTAGATATTAATTAAATATCATAAGCGTTATACAAATAGTATTGCTATTATATAGATTTTTAATTAAGTTTATGAATCTAGTAAGTTTATTAAATACTTATTTTTTTTAATTGGATTATAATATTTTTTTTTATTTTAATCTAAGATGTTAAAATCATAATTGCAACACTATCAGCCTTCTGTAGCTGAAAATGTAACATTAATTGAAATTAGGCTTAGAGAACTTTTTGAATATGTAAATAAATAAATAAAATATTCTTGTAGTAGTTTATTTGGTGAATTTTGCTTACTGATTATTTAAATTATCATAAATATGTTATAAAGGAGTTGTTAATTCTAGAAATATCTAATTATTTTAGATTCTAAAAAGTTATTAATAACTTATATTTAAAATACATTAATATAAAATTCAAATTAATTGATTAATCTATTGTAAATTTTTTATTAATATTTCATTAAATTATGTCACAAAAAAAAATAAAAAATATTATTTTATATGAATTAATTCTTTTAAAATTATTTTAAATTCTACTTTTTATAAAAAATTAATTGTAAAAAACCAAAAAGATTTTATTTTAAATTTGCAAGCTAAGAATTTATAAAAAAACTTTCAATTATTTATGATAACTTTATCAGATATATTTAATTTTTAGCATCTCTTTATTTTATTCTTATTTGATATATTTATTATCATCAGATTATTTTGATTTTTCATTTACTCAATAAATATACAATTTTTTAATCATTATTAAATCATATCAAATAAGATAATAGAGTGCAACTAAAGTATTTCAAGATTTATCATAAAATTTATCATTGTAGAGCCATTAATCAGTCTCACATTAGATCCAATTAGGATTAAAATAAATTACATAGCAAATTTATAAATTATGATATGTATTCTTTAATGATATATATTTGTTAAAAGTTCATTCTAATTCTTTCTTGAATATTTAAAAGTATCATTCAATTAGAAAATAAAACATCATTTCAAATAAATGATAAAAACTGAGTTAAACTTTTATATTAATTCAAAATTTTTAATTTTATTAGTCTTCATTTCAATTTAAATTCAGATTAACATTTTTAGGATTAATAATCTGAACTGAATTGAACTAAAATTTTCAGTTTAGATTCAGATTGGCTTAGTTTTGTATCTTGTAAATTATAAAAAATAATATTTAGCAAATTTACAATATATAAATATAAAAATGTATTACAATCATTAAAGTAATTGAAAGTATATGTTTAAAATTTAAGCTAAGGTAAAAATAATATTTTATTAAAAGTTTTTTAAAATATCATTATATAATCTAAAACAAATTAGTAATCTTTAATTTTTTTTTATGTGATATTATATTTGTACAACTAAAATTTATTATTATTCTTCATTAAGAGCTTGATGTATGGATTTTCTTTTTTTCACGTTGAATTAGAAATCTTGTCGTTTCTTAGATTTTATAAATGTAAAATTTGTAATATAATTAAACTGAAGAACATAAACAACATATCAAATAATATATATTACATTTTTACAAGGTTTAATTACTGACTCTTCATTTAAATATCGTACCAAAGATGTATAATAGTTATACACAGATTCTTTTCTGTAATTTACGCCATTTAACTTCTTTAGGCATGTAATAAACCTACACAAAAAAATCTTCAGGAAAAAAAAGAAAATTGTATGTAGACAAAAAATCCATCGCTACTTCTGTTACGGATTACTTGGTTAATTTGCTAATCACATGTGCTTACTCGCATGTAACTTTATGTATGGAATAACAAGTATTTATTATTATATGATTAGATAAATAAAAGTGCTAAAGAAAAAATTTAGTAGCAAGGTAGATAAATTTTTTTTTCGATTTGTGTACCTAAGTTGTGTATCAGTAATAACTTTGATATCCAACATCATGAATAATCCTATTGATTTGAACGGCCAGTTCTTGGATATGATAAAATTTAGCTTCTAATAATAATTCTTCAAGTAATAAATTGTCGCGCAGAGTTCTTTTTGGCAAGTCATCTGTTCTTATAAATTCAACATATTTAAATAACTCGCCATTTCGGTCAATAAAAATGTTTCCATTATGATCAAAATCTTTAAAAGGCTCCGAAAAGAATTTCGTTTTTTTTAAAAGTGTTCTTTTTGTAGTAGTGTAGAGTATTCCACCAACATTAAGGGTAATAAGAGTGGTAACAAGGTTATTTTGATGTGAAGTTGAAGCTTCATCCTAGTAATGCAATAAACAAAGTCAATTTACTATAAATCGGTTGAATTATTGATATAAAAACAAATTATGTTACCTCAATTTTGTATACCGTATATTCATTGCTCCCGGTCATTTTGGAAGGTAGAAAATAAATCTTTGTTCCGTCAGAAAAAGCAAATTCTTGCCCTTGAACACGTTGGTAAAAAATCCCGGCATCATTCTCAGTTTTAAAATGTGCATGTCCATACGGATTATTTAGTGTTTTGAGGACGTGAGATACATCTACTGAAAATTTGGTTGAGATGAAATCTTTTATCTCTTGACTGCTTTTGCCGGTTAATTGACCTCCTACGAACACAGAATTTCTTAGAGGGCAACAAGGAGTTATTTTCGCTTCTTGAGGTCTAAATATAGGATAAAAAAAGTGAAAGTGTAAGAAACATAATCATGACAAGCGTGAATATGAGCGTGAGCGTTAGCATATGAGCGTGAACGTGAGCGTGAGCGTGAGCATATGAGCGTGAACGTGAGCGTGAGCATATGAGCGTGAACGTGAGCGTGAGCATATGAGCACGAGCGTGAACGTGAGCGTGAGTGTGAGTACTCCCAAGAACCTATTTCTATGTTTGTTACGAAGGGAGGTACATAACTAATTCCTCCTCCGGAATCAGTAGACCTTCAACATAGTAATTTCAAGGTTTCCTGAAAAAGATTTGTGAAATAAAAACATTTCTTCACTTACCTCCTTCCATAATATATTCTGTATATGGTACATGTAAAAAAGACTTTTCTGAAAAAAAGGGAGTAAGTTATCATTTATACATAATTATATATAAAACAAAACTAATTATAAATCACGTGGATTGCTCGTATTACGTGACTTTATTATATAATCAGTAACTTATATATAGTGTAGTGTATTAAAAATCCACTAATTTGGTGGTTTTTTTTTTTTTACAATGTCTGAATATAGCAAGAAGATATTCCGTGATAATTTACAAGGTTTGGATGCGGTAAGTTTTAATAGAAGTTTTACCTGTAACATTTGCTAATTAACAATAACGCGTAATTTTCTTAGTATACTCGACATAAATTATTTATGAGGGATTATGTTAATTTTTATGGAAATAACGGTCAACCGTCAAATGTAGAGACAAAGACAGAAATTGACATTTTAAAAGAAAATCATAAGTAAGTTAGCACATTTAAAGGTTTTATTTTTTTAAAAAAAAATAAATTAATATAGTAATAATAATAAGATTTCTTCGAACGGAAGAAGAAGAAGAAGAGGAGTTAAGTTGGGAACAACGTGTTGCAAAAAAATATTATGATAAATTATTTAGAGAATATTGTATTGCTGAATTAAAATATTATAAGGAAGGAAGGGTAAATAAGAAATTTTTTTTTAAAAAAAATATTAATAATATTATATAATTAATTCGATTTAATTTACAGATTGCTTTGCGATGGAGAATTGAAAAAGAAGTTATAACAGGAAAAGGTCAATTCATTTGTGCATCAACAAAATGCTCAAATACAAGTGAATTAAAATCTTGGGAAGTTAATTTTGCTTATATGGAAGATGGAGAAAAGAAAAATGCTTTAGTTAAAATTAGATTATGTCCAAAATGTTCTAATAAATTAAATTATAGTAAACAACATTCAGAAATTAAAACAGAGAAAGAAGTTAATTTAGAAAAAGAAATTGAACAAGAAACGAGACATGAAAAGCGAAAAAGAGAAGATTATGAAAGTAGTAATAGTGACAAAAAGAAAAAACGTGAGAGTACTTCAGAGAGAAGTAAAAAGGAGCGTGAAGGTAATTCTGAAGATATCGAAAGTCAAAAGTTAGGTAAGAAACTTCAAATTCTAAAATTTATTACAATTTGATCTTTTTTATTAAATTTTTTTTTTAATACTTAAGAATCAGTTGATAATAATCCTGACGATTTATCTGGAAGAGGGAAAATAGAGGACTTCGATGAATTTTTTACCGGATTATTTGTTTAAACAACATTTAAGGGATATTGCCTTTTTATGTAAAATTCGCGAAAAAAAAAATTAAAAAAAAACCGACTTTGGATGTATGTACTGGCCATTTAACAATAATAAAAGTGTTGAATTGTAACTTAATTATTCAGAAGAAATTTGTCATTAAAATGATTCGAAATTTCATTACATAAGCAATATTATTAGTCCTTTCTTTTTAATTTAAGTACGAAAACGGACCATTCGTACCAACAGCATATCTGATATGACAACTTAACGATCACCACAAGATTTGATCAGAAAATCCAATTAGGAACAGTTTAGGCAAATTTTTATATTTGGCTTGCAATTAGCTTTTATATAATTATTTGTGTGTGTGTGTGTCTGTGTGTGCGCACACTATCATTCATATAGAAAACCTCAGCAAATTGAGATAGTTTTATAAAATATTATAAAATTTTATACAAATTCACTTTTTTCTAAATTCTTTAAAAAACACTTAATAAAAAAATTTTACTATTTTTTATTTTAAAATTAATTATTTTTATAATATTTTTATATAAAATATTTATAATTGAAATAATAATTTTATTTTATTTATTTTTAAAGGATTATTTTAATTTCTTTATAAATTTCTTTTTTAGAAATTAAAATTAAAAGTATAATAAATATTATTATTAATATAATTAATAATATAAAATATAATATAAATACAATACAAATATTAACTTTATTTATAATTAAAGTTTATTCATTAATAATGAATAAATATAATTATTAATACTTTATAAATATTTAAAATAATATATTATTATATAAGAAAATTTTATAGGATTTATATTAAAATTATTATAAATTATCAAATAAATAAAAAATTAAAGATTTTTAAATATAAAAAATATTAGGGTTTAATTATAACTTTCATAAGATTTTATTATATTTACAAATACTTTTTATATGTATATTATAATAAAAAATTAAAAAAAATAGATATAAACTATTAAAAAAAACCTTTTAATAATAGTCAAACCTCAAATAAAATTATATTAAAATAATAATAAAATATAGTAAAACTTTTATGATATAATAGAAGCTGAAATTATAGAAACTATATTAAAAATATAATAAAAAATACAATAAAATCATTAAAGAAAATTTAAGCAAGCATTTATAATAAGATTGCTTGTCTAAATTTATTTTAAATTTGACAAAACATCTAAACTATAGATTTGCTAATTTTTTACTAAGGTTTTGATATAGTTTCACATTTTTATAAGCTTTGATATAGTTTTACTTTTTCACAGATTTTTTAATAAGATTTTAATATAATTTCGCTAAATTTTACCTTTTTCATTTAGACAATTTGCAAAACCTTAAGTTTTATTTAGTAATTTTAATCTATAATGATATTATAATATATTATATTTATTAATTATTAAAATTTAGATATATTTTTTACTATATTTAATTATTTATAATATTATTTTAAATATAAATAAATTTTTTATATAAATATTTATTTAATTTAAAATTTACAAATAAAAATAAATTTTAACTATATCAAAATTTTTAAATAATTTTTATCATTATTATATTAATATTATAAATTTTTATTTAAATGTTAATTATAATATTATATATTATTAGAAAATAATTTCTTAATTATTTTTTTTTTAAATTAATGTTTATAATATATATAATAATATTAATAAGCTTTATAATAAAATTTTTTTTAATTATTTTAAATATAAGATTTATTAATAAAATTACTTTAAAATTTAGATAAGTAACTTTATTAGTAAATATATAAAATTTAAATAATTTATCTGTTTTAATAATAATTTATAACTATTTTATATTATATAATATAAATACTAAAAATTAATATGCTTTATATATATAATACATATAGATTTTATACTTATATTTAAAGTACTTCACAAACTAGCTTACAAATTAAATTAAAACTTTTCAAATATTAAAAATAATTATTATATATATAAATCTATACTAAAAGTTTATTTATTATCTAATTTAATTAATTATTATATATATAATAAAAATTAATCTTTAATACTCAAGATTTCTTTGCATTATTTAATATAGTTATTTAGTTCTTGAATGATCAAATTAGCTTATTTAACTTTATTGATTTGATTAAAAGAATTGTACCCTTTTCTTTATTTAACAAAATTTATCATCTTATCAACAACATCTCACTGACAAATAGCTTCCTTTTCTTTACCTATTATTACATATTTTTCAAAATAAAATAATTTGATTTGAATGATATACAATTATCAAACAATTTAAAAAGTCTCAATAATATATCACTGATTAACAGGAAAATACACTTTATTAATATTGGCTTTCTCTTATCAAACTGACACTCTTTTATTATTTTATATTATTTTTCTCTTCTCTTATAAGTATAATATGAACTGGTCAAGTTTTTAGATTAGTAGCAACCAAATTCCTTATACTAGATATTTAACTTTATTCTAATTTAATTTAGATAGGTTAGTCTAAAACAGTGTAAGGTTAGATTGATTTTGATTTAATTTTATTAATTAGATAAAAATTTTTGTACTTTTTCTTTTATAATTAGTAATATTATAAAATTTTACTTTACTTTTAATAAAGATTATATAAAGCTACCACACGTTAAAAATAAAAAAATATTATATATATAATAAACTTTTAGTATAAATTTATAAATTTTAATTATTGATTTTTTTTAAGTAATTATTTAAGATATTATTATAATAAAAATAAATATATAACTTTAATATATATTTTATAAAAGAAAATATTTTTTAAATTATTATTTAATTAGATTTTATATAAATACAAAAAATTTTTTAAATAAAAAAAATGAATTTTTTTATTATAAAATTTTATAATAAAAACTTTTAAATTTATAACAATTTAAAACTTTTATTAATATACATAATTTATCTTTTCTTAAATAATATTTTTTTAACTAGATAGATAATATTAATAAAAAAAATCACTAAAAAAAAATATATAGAAATTAAAAAATATTATTAAATAATAAAAAAATAATAAAAATAATAATGGTATATTTAATTTAAAAACTAAAATATTAGTCATAATTATTATTAATAAAATATATAATTACATCAAATTACATTATTATATTATATTAGTTATAATTTAAAAAAATCTATTTTATATTAAAATATATAAATTTAGAATTATATATTATAGAAGATTAATAAAGTAATTTAAATATTTTATATTAATATTTTATTTTAATAAATATAAAATATCTATAATAAAAAACTTTTTTTTAGTATTATTAATGTATAATTCTTTTAAATAATAATAGTTAAATAAAATGTTTAAGTATTATATTTTTTAAATTTACATAATAAATTAAATAGTTATCCCTTCAAGCATTTTGCAGGCAAATTTGCCTGCAATTTTATTTAATAATTAAAATTATTTATAATAATTTTAAATATTTTTAAAATAATTTATTTAAAAATTAATATTTTTATAATAAATTTTATAATGTTTTCTAAGTAAAAATTTAAAAAAAAATGTAATTAATTAATGATATTTTAAAGATAAATATATAATAAATTATTATAAAAAAAAGTTAAATTTTTAAACTTATATACACTCTTGTGTAAAAAGTTTAGGACTACTTCTAAGATTTACAATAGTGATACATAAATTGAAAAATATTTATTTATTTGTATAATAAAATAAACTATTTATGATGTATTGTTTAATGATGATCATCACACAAAAAATTTTTTTTCCCCTATATTTATTTCTTCATTGTTTCTATAAAATGGTTAAAAGAAAAGAACTAACAGATTTTGAACATGGTAAAATCATTAGCTTTTATGAAGCTGATGATTCTGAAAGGACTATTTCAAAAAAAACAGGTTATGGCAAAATGACGGTACATAATATAATAACAAAATACTATGAGAAGGGTACTATTTCTGTTGCTAATAGAAGTAGACATCCTAAGAAAGTAACTGAATGAGACAAGTGTCATCTTAAGACTATTATTGTCAAAAACTGGCATAAACCCATTAAAAAATAAAGAAATTTTTATTGAGTCTACTGGAAATATAATATGTAAGCGAACTATGAAAAAAACATTATATAAAATAGGATATAACAGTTGTATAGCCCTTAGAAAACCTAATGTAAGTGAGAATAACCAAAAAATTCGTTTAAATTGAGCTCATAAAAGGCATCTATAGATTATAAATGGCTGGAAAAAAGTTGTATAAAGTGATGAGTCTAGATTTACTCTATTTCAGAATGATGGAAAAATTTGAGTTTGAAGGCTTTCTAAAGAAAATTACAATATTAATTGCCTTGTTTCAACTATAAAACATAGTAGTAGAGGAGTTATGATGTGGGATGCTTTTCCTGGTATGGGTTAGGTCCTTTGATAAGGGTTGATGGTCAGATAAATAGTGAAAGATATATTCAAGAGATCCTTGGCTACCATTTAGTCCTATTTTAGAGGAATTTGAAAAACAAAATGGAGAATATTTGTTTCAACAAGATAATGCACCAATTCACACAAGTGAACGAATATGAAACTTTATTGAAGAAATAGATATAACTTAGTTACTTTGACCAGGACAAAGTCCTAATCTTAATCTCATAAAGCATTTATGAGATGAGCTTAGGCGTCAAATCTGATTAAAGCAAAAAAATCCAAGAAATGTGAGAGAATTAGAAGAATTTCTTCAACAATGTTGGTTAAAGATTTCAGATGAAATTTACCAAAATCTTATTGAAAGCATAAATTGTCGAGTAGAAGCAGTGATAAAAGCCTGCGATTATCTTACAAGATATTGATAAATACTTTTATCACATTTTATAAAAGTAAATATCAAGAAATAATTTTTTTTTATTTTTTTATTGAAAATTATTCCTTTTTTATTAAAGAAACTTTAGTATATATTAATTTTATCAATTGTATAGGTTTTGGATTTCTTTATTTTTTATCGCATAAATTAAAT